CTCAGTGTAGGTTTGAGCCTTGAATGTTTGTTTGTAACTAAATGGTTATATGCTACTTCACTTTATTCTGTATCATGTGATGTTTGCCGTCTTATCTTTTGCAACATTTATCGGTAGACGTATGTGTGACTGCACGGTAGACCCTGCCCTACCTCATGTTGATAAAAATGCATGAACATGGGCATTGCCAAGTGTACGGTTTACTTTTTTACCTGTCAATGTTTTCTTTTTTTTAAGAAAAAGTTGCATCAAGCCAAAACTTGAAGCTCCTCCTCTAAGGAATTAAGCACTGTTTTTTTTAAATCAAATCTGTGGTTGAAAGTATCGTTTTAACTATTGATATGGCGCAGTCAAGTCTGAGAACTGATTTTGATTCATTGGTGACTTGCATGTCTGTTGACCGAACAAAACAGCATGTTTCCACAGCAGGATGATGTAATTGAAAAAACAAAACAAAAACCAAAAAATTCTTCATTTTTGTCCATGAAACAGTTGACAGAAATCGTGATATTGCATCATAATTAATGTGGCTGCCTTTAAAATATCACCTTGGATCATAAACATGTCAGAATTTTAAAAAATTGTTTTTCAAGTGCAACATGTTCCACCAATGATCTGAGTGCACAGAAATCACAAACACTGAAACTTACCCTGAAATCATATAGAATTAACAGTCTGATGTCCCCCTTCTTTTTCTCTATGTGATTTTGGCTCTTTCTCAGAAAAGACATGGTTTACAGATGAGCCAGAGAATACCAACCTGAGGACCATACAGTTCAAGCCTGTGAATACTCTCGCCATCAACCAAGTCAGTCAGAATAAATGCACAAGCAGCTCAATTCCACCCATCAGAGAGGCAGAGGATGAGTGCTGAGCTTGGGACCCACGCTGACACCTGCGCGCCTGGATTCCCAGAGGACTTATTGTGTAGGTGTCAGTCTGGGACTTTTGACATCTCATCTGAAAACATAAAGCTTCAGTTTACATTAAGACTAAACAAACTGCTGTCCTCCTGCACCTCTGCAGCAATTTGTCTGGGCTGATTTAGAACCATGACGACAATCATAGCAAAGTGATGCGGCCACAGAGCTGATAATTCGCACGGCTTCTCTGTTGGAGTGACCAGACTCCACGAATTTGATTTGATTTTGGGGAATGAGGGTCACTTAAGGAGAGCAATGTAAAAATGACCACTACTAAAAGATGTTATTGCTATCATTACTCAAGATCATGAATTTAATTAGTAAAAGTTGCCTTTTTAGCCGTCCATAAACTACTAATATTCTATACAGTATGTTAAAATGTGTATTTTACGACCAGCTACAGCCGTCACCACAATGGCATGGGTAGTGACTGACTTGCAGTGATTTCTTTGCCATTTTGAGCTAATTCACAACATTTGTGACAGTTATGATAGCCAGTGTCCATAAGTAATGACATTAGGCTTCAGCCTTATCTCTATCTGTTTATATTTGTCTTACCTTTGCCTTTTTCAATTCTAGAATAATTTTCATGTTGCTTTTGGTTTCTTCTTTTTTTTTCCACTGTTCAAAGTCCCAAAAATGTTTCTGGAAAGATTCAAATGTTTGGAGTGATATTTTGTTCTTTCTTTTCTGATCAATAGCCAAATATGATAGAGCTGTTTTGTTGATCATCTCATACACTTCCTCTTAACATAGAAGCTTTTTTTTTGTTTAAAAAAATAAAAAATTGCCAGCTGCTTTGACAGAATCTGGCACCATGTTTTAAGTCTGTAGATGTGTTTAATTCGAAAGCCACATATCGCATGAAGTGGGCATCTTTAAGTCCTCCTTTGGCTGTGAGCACTGCCTGACACATGGACATTGTCTTGGATGCCATGGGGCAACTTGAATGTACTCCATAGCCAATGTTAATGCCATAGTCACTGTAGATATATGAAAAACAGCTCTATCATAGAACTGAGTTTGGCTATTTACATGCTCGTGCTGGACTGTGTTGGTAATCCACCTTGGTGAAGGCCTATATTTTTGTTTAATTCTTAGCTATTCATAAAAGAAACAAATCATTTGTTTCTGCTGAAGTAGCAATCATTTGGTTTTTGTATCGACACTGCAGAGATGGCTGGTAAGAATCATGTCTTATCTATAAAATGGAACATAGCTATACTGGCACTGTTGTCACTTTATGTAAGAATCAATGACAGAGAGAATGAAAAAAGAAATAAACGAAGGAGAAAAAAACACTATCCACAGATTATGCATTACAGTTCAGTTTAGTACTCATTATGGATGTTTTTGTGGAAAAAAAAAAACGTTTGTGACACGGTAACTGGCCTAGAGAACATCCAAGCTGTCCTTCCCTCAGTGCCAGTTATGTGCCAGGCAGTGCTGATACCAATGGAGGACACAAGGAAGACCCACTGCTGCGAAAAGAGGCTTCTAGTTTAACTTTCTCGAGATAACCACAACTGTGGTAAAGACACCACTTCTAAAGTCTTAAAACAGTTTTTGACTGATCCATCATCATCAAAAGCAATTAATCTTCATGTAAATCTGTAAAGCTTAATGTAAAGTATTCTTTGTAGTCTAATCTTGTTAAAAAGTATGTGGGGATGAGAGACAGTCAGAGTTTATAATATTTTGTTCTATTTTTTTTTGTGCATTGTCATTACAATGATGGTTGTAAGCTGATATTCATGTCATGATCCACAGTAATAAATACAGCTTATTGTCTTGTAAAAAATAGACTTGTACATAAATTGTACATGGTTTCATTTTGTATTTTCACAAATTAAAAGCTGATGTATTGTGCTCTACAGCATGTCATGTCATATCTTCCCCAGACTAATCTCCCAATGATGCTGATTGCCTGATGTTTGGACATAATGAGTACCACAGTACACTATTAGTATATTTCAGACATCTTTAATGATGTTGTCTCTCTTTAATAATGACTATATACACACAGCGGCATGCTGTTTCTGATTGTCAGGCTGATCCAATGACACAAGACATTTCTTGGTACCCTCTGGATAATAGCTGATAATAAAAAAAAAACACATTCTCACCTTAGGGATATAGAGAACCCATCATGTTGCTTGTTAACGATTTCACACACCATGGCACAGTGGGAGACTGTCGGCATGCCAATAATGTTTACAGTCTAACACCTCACAGCGAGGCTGCTGATTTGTCTGATCATCCTGCCAGGGGCTGTGTCACCTCCTGTTAGTAAACAAACACGTGTAATTATAGATTTAAAAACATTCATTTTACTGCATGAATCAGCTCCATTGATAGACTTTGTGTCGGATGATTAACTGCATGTATCAAAATAACTTTCTTGCAGGACTGCATAAACATAAGGCAATCTGAAAGGAAAGAAACAATAATAATTATGGTGGTTAAAGAGAATATTTGATTGAAACAAACTTTCAGTAATAAATCAGGAGAGACTAGAGGCGGGTAAGAGTTTCAAACAGCCTGGAGTCAGGACTAAGCAAGTTAAAACGATTCCTAGTGGTGATAGATCAAACAAATTGAGGTTAAAGAAAACCATCTGTCACGTCTGTTACCAGACATGACTTGGGAAGTGGAAAAAAGTTAGACATTCCAGGCTAGTTTGTGGTAACCAGCATCTAGAATTATTTCCTGAATGTAAACGACAATTGTATTCCCCAGTTTTGACAGGTGAGATTGCAGTGAAGATGTGCCTCAAACCCATAGCTTTGTTGTCCAGTTAGGACACACGAGAAGTAACGGAGGCCTCAAAACTTTTAAAAATCCAAAGGTCAGAGAGGGTTATATTCAGATGTTGTGTAAATACTCATAAATCATTACACTTTTTAGTTACGTTTTGCAAAAGGCAACATGATAGAAGTTTATCCTTAGCAGGTAGATACAAAAAAGTACTTTTCCAATAAGTAATTGAACAATGTTAAACTTTTTATCACACTTTCAAAGCCATTTACTCCAGTCTGGCTTTAAAATGTGTTTATTTCATATTAACAAGTCTCAGAGGGAAAATAGAATCTTTCATATAAAAAGAAAAACTACATTATTAAAATCTTAAATTACAGACCCAAATCTTTTGCAAAAGCACCGCAAATAACATTAATTTTGTAAAGCATAGAAGAGATACTTGTTGATATCTGGATTCTAATGCATTTTTCATCCCGTTATTCAAATCCATCCTTCGGATTACAACAAGAACATTCAAATCCATGGTCACTCCAAAGAACAACTTTCGCCTGGCTCTGCTAGTGATAATAGTTTCCATGACAATGGAGCACTCTCAGTGCATCAATGCCAGC